CAGTTTGTACCACTCAGGGACTCCCTTAGTCTCTCAGGGTTGCCATCACAACATACCACAAAGTGAGTGCCTTTAAAGAACAGAAATGTATTGTCTCACAGTGCTGAAGGCTAGTCTAAAATCAGGGTCTGGGCCATGTTGATTCCTTCTGGGGGCTGAGCTCTGAGAGACCAAGTGTTCCATGCCTCTCTTCTAGTTTCTGGTGGCTGCCAGTGATCCTTCGGTGCTTATAGATGTATCTGCCTCTGTCATCACATGGCATCTATCTTCCTCCTGTGTGTGACCCCCTTTTTATAAGATATCACTCAGAAAGTATCTAGTCAAAACTGTACCCCACTATGAAGCTGTTAACTGATCACATCTGCAAAGAGAAACCCTACTTCCCCAAACAAGGTCACATTCACAGGTACAGGGGTTAGGATTCAATATATCTTTTGGGGGAACACAATTCAATCCACAACAGAGAGATACTATATCATCTCCATGTTGCCAGTGAGGAAGCTGAGGCTCAGAGAAGCTTAGTAACTTGCCCAGGGCACACAGCAAGGGGATCACAGGGCCAGGATGGACCCCAGGTCTGCCTGACTCCACTCTTTACTCCCCTCCACTGCCTCCCTGGCATAAAATTATTAGTGTGCCAAACACAGGTAGACCTAAAGACATATCTGGTAAGTGTGGATTTTATGATGGAGTGGGTATTTGCTTAGTAAACTTAACTGAATAGTTTGGCTCCTTAGGTCAAGTCAGCATATTTACTGAGAGGGCAGGGTCTAAAAAATTTGGATCAGCTCAGAGAGAATGTATAAAGTTCAGTTCCAGTTGCCATTGAGTCGTCTCTGACTCGTGGCTACTCCATGTGCGTCAGAGTAGAACTGTGCTCTACAGGGTTTTGGTTTTTTTTTGAATAATATTTTATTGTGTTTTTGGTGAAAGTTTACACACTAAATTAGGTTCCCATTTGACAATTACTATACAAATTGTTCAGTGACATTAATCACATTTTTCACACTGTGTCAACATTCTCTTTAATTGCATTTTGGTTGTTCCATTCTCCATAGAGTTTCCAGGCCTTTCTTCTGAGGCACCTTCAACTTTTCAGTTAGCAACCAAGTGCTTAACTGTTTCCACCACCCAGGGACTCCAGAAAGTACAATAAACAACCGTATACCCACCCAGGTTCAATATATTTTAGTATGTATCATATTTTGTAGCATATGTTTACTTTAAAATAGGTCATGAAAATATATATAGGTATATTTTCCTGATCTATTTTAAATTACAAACATGAT